GTTAAAAATTTAAGAAGCATCATCACAACTTGTGGGCTAAAGTCATTACTAGGTTGTGAAATTAAAAAAAAAAATGTTGCCAGCTACGGGAACAGAATTCTATAAAATATTAAATTTCACGATATCCACATGAATGTAATATTAATGAATAAAAAAAATGTAGCTGCTAGTAAACACTGCAAACCTAAACGAAGTTGTCTATCAGATAACGAAATCGGGGGGGGGATAGACAACCGGAATACCGGCTATTTTATCCAATTTTATTTCTCAAGCCATCTAGTCCCTGACAAGTTGGCCCTTTACAGGCCAAAAGAAGAAAAAAAGAGAAAGAAAGAAACGCTACATAAAAAACTGGGGAAGTTCCATCATTTTTCAAATAAAGAGACGAGCGAAGAAGAAGCCTTCATTCTTTAGAGAAACGTTGCAAGAAATTAAATGATCTGCCAATGTTTCGGGTTCACGTTTCGCACTCAGATCCCGCCAAATCCCCGAACTGCAATTCTCGAGTTGAAAGCTTCTTTTCATTCCCTTACGTTGAAGGAGAAGGAAAAGGGTTGCCATTTTTGGGCCGTATGCCAGTATCGACAAAAGTATAAGAAGCCAGTTGGGCGCCAAAGAACGTCGATTAGAACTGCGGAATCGTTATTGTTTGTGAAAGAACTGGCGTGAAGAGTGGCTTGAAAAAACTAATCAACAGCCCCCGAAACGAATAGAATATTTAATTACTGAAAATATACGTCAAGAAAAAAAAAATCAATACGTACATTATGTTATACAAGCAAATGATTATTTTGTAGCCAGAATGCATAATAACGCCTTTCATTAATTACGATTGATGGTATAAATGCTCATTATTAAAGCAATTTTTTAAGCTCTAATTGAAAATATTTTGCACAAACTACTTTTTAGAGCTATTATATGACACTAATATTAAAATCTATGTCTAATCTTTACCGACGTAAATTACTAAACTTATTAAAAATATGTAATTTTCTATGAATTATTTTTCAACATTTCTTTCATTTTGGAATATTTTTAGAACTAGATTACTTGGATTATAGTAAAGCACTCGAAGGCTACTACATGCCTAAACGAAGGGATGCTTTCATAGCAGATATTTTTAGGAATATCCTACTGTCTTATTCACGCTATTCACAAGGCAAACCATACATGCAGACAGCACACTCTCCGGGATTTGAATTCACGCCAAACTACCAATTACCGTTCAGCTGTTTGTGGGTCGGTGATAGTTTTAGAAATAACATGTCCGTATTATTGAGGATAATGTAATATAAAAAACAAAGTATTGCATAAAGAGTTTTCCCTCTCCAATGGCGAGCTCTAGTCGTTTATAAACGTTGGTCACTACTAAGGTTGGAAGCAGTGGTCTCTTTATTATGGAGGCCCCTAACATGTGAGCCACCGCTGCCTGCTGTGAAGAGACGGAGAAATTACATCCATACCTTCTCCAGGATTCGAACTCGGGCTCTACGGTACGGTACTTAGAGTCACTAACCACTTTCCTGTCTGGGCGCCTCGAATGAAATGTAATGTGTGAATAACTATTACAAGTTAATGTTTTAATAATACTTAGATTTTATTTTATTATTATAAATTTTATTATTATAAAATGAATGCATAATATAATGCAACTTTATTTATCTGTATGTTATTTACCTGGAAGCTCATTAATTTCGAGCGTCAAAACCGACGCGAAAGTCTATTCCCTCCTCCCAACAATTGAATCCCGCTTTCCCCTTGTTATCAGTTCTTGGAGACGAATCATAAAAAGCAGGGAAGCATGCTTTCGCAAAGTAAAGGAGGGCAATTAAAATACTCATAGCAATTCCCCATCCCTCAAAATCAAAACAGTCAATTTCCAAGATTTATATAAAGACTACACGTACGAATAGCTTTTAAATGGCTGGTAGTACAGACAACACTGGCTGGTAGTACAGGTTTAAATGGCTGGTAGTACAGGTTTCTGCTTAAAAAACGAGTAATAAAAAGGCTGAGCTACGGTAATTTTTAGCACGTGAATGCCTTTCATGAAAAATATACGAGATTTAAATTTTATAAGTGTTGTCTATTATTATTATTATTATAAGGGTACAGCCCCGATCCTCCTAGCCGGCACAAGCTGGCCGTATGATCAAAAAATAGGACTGGCAAAAAAAAAAAAAAAAAAAAAAAAAAAAAAGAAAAGAAACAAAAAACAAAAAATCCAAAATCTGAGTCTCAGTGCCGAATTCGAATTCTATCTTTGGTCGTATTTATTTATAATCTTCATTATTGTCTCTGCAAAATCTTTCAAATTTGAATAGCTCCTTTTAAAATCTTCCTTAAAATTCTTTCTATATTTCTCTCTTGCACTCCGGGTAAGCGTACATTCATCGACGCAGTGCCTGGCATCCCCAAACTTATCACAAATTAAGCATTTATCATTATTTTGTAGATGGAACCGATTGAAATAAGCCGGGAAACGTCCCTGATTAGTCAGTACCTAATTTATGTGGAATTTCCATTGGTCAGTTATTCTTTGCTGAGGATCTTCTAAAAGAGATAAGAAATTGGTACATAATACGCAACACTAATCCGAAAAAAATGTCAAAATTATGTAACTTAAATTTTATAAGTTAAAAAGAAAACGGTGATTTACAGACAATATAAAATCAAGTTAAAAATAAAATTTAAAATTTTAGTGCTTTAACATAATTTAAAACAGCGCTTTTAAATTAATGCTTTTTACTGGCGAAAATATTTTTGGTAATTCATATTAAAAACCTTAGTATGCCTAGTTCTTTTTAATATCTGCATGCAGACCCAATGATATCACGAGTAGTTTGGACTGTATCAGGATGATTTGGTTTAGTTTATTATAGCAAAGCACAAAAAGGACTACCTGCCCAGGGAAAAGGACACCTTCGGGGAGGACTTTCAAGGCAAAAATGGCTCGTATAGACGTTACACAGCGGGAAAACCATTGGAAACGCCCATGCAGCCGCCCGTTCGCTTGGATTCGAACCCAGGTCGGAACTACCAGTGTCCAGCGATTTTATCGCTCGGTCGCTAGTAGGCGTATTAGGATGGATTACTTTGCTTTTTAATTCACTAATTCGGTTGTGGAAAACATTTTCCTCATTGACATATTTTTAAAATATACATATATTTTATTAAAAAAAGTCAGAGAAAGCTTTATGGCCTGGATAGAAATTTAAAATTTGCATACTTTTTACTAAAAGAAATCACGTGACCGGAATTGCCAAGATATGACGACCTTTCTCATTTGATTCATTTCTTACACTTGATCAACAGGTTCACAACCAACCACTCAAAATATACAGTTGTTTTGAAATACCCAACGTACATTTTATATTATACACTATTTTAAATTATGTACTTAAAAGAATCCAGAAAATCAAACTTTATATGGAACTTATGTTAAGGACACGTAACTTTATGTGAGAATATAAATTCCATCTAGAAATTAATTACACGCTTTATATTTTGGTCAATTTCTATGGCAGCAGATCAGATGGCATTTCAAAACAATTTCCCAAACTCTACTAAATAACAAGGAGTTGAAGAAATATTCCCATTTGCTGCCCATTTTATGACATATTAGATGGAGCTTTTCGTCGGCATTTTGCCAGATTGTTTAAGGGGGAGGGGGCATTTGGCTTCGTTTTGAGCTATTTGTCACATTGAGCCTTTTGTTTCTAAAAGATTAAACAAGCACAATATAACAGTTATTGCGCTTGAGCCCAATTCACGAAAATTGATAGCAATAGAGTACGCAAGATTGCATGACACGGAATAATATCGCACTGATTATATGACATTGCAAACAGGAACATTGCAGTTACCCTTTTAATTAATCATTTGTTGCATGAAATCAACTGCTCTCTTCGAATGAAGCGACAACTCGAAATAACCCTCTTTCTAAGGATATCTTTCATTAGTTCTTGCTAAAATTTTAGTTTTATATTGACTACAACACTTTTACAAAAGACTTTAAAAGACAAAGACTGTAAAATTTACGTTACGATATTTAAGAATTTCAAGAATTGTGCACGATTTAAGTTTATATATCCATATTTTAGAACACTTTTTATAATAGTTCAAGAGAAGCATTTCAAGAAATTTAAAAACTTCCATTTTTACGGAATTTGAAATTCGACAATACATTTAGTTTGCATATTATATACTATATTCGCTATCATCTTTCCAAATTATATTTTTATGTATTTTTTTATATGATGTGATATGTGAACGTTCATAACAAATGAAGGGTGACAATTAAACCTAAGGCCATGGCCTTAAAACAATTAATTTGTTTTCTCATCGAAAAAAGCGCATATTGTACAAAATTTCTATTCATTTGCTAACTCTCTAAAAGGCTTTTTCCTAAACAGGCTTTTCTATCGTAAAGCTTTTTCCTCGTTGAAAGAGAGGGGATATGTACGATAAAAAAATATGAAACTAAAAAAATTACTCATTTTAATTTGGGTACTTCCCATTTACATTCTAAAAACAGTCACAACTTTTTTAAACTGCACGGCTGAAAAATTAACCTGCATTGCGTAGGGTTCTTGGCAAATCACCGTTCAAAAACTTCTTTTGAAAAGTTTTCAATCATATACGATTATATAGGTCTTGCTGAAGTAAGCATTCATTTTTTTTTCTACTCGCTCTCGCCTGGCTAGCTCAAGGTTCGTCGCTTCGCTGTATCTTCTACTGTTTAAAATTGTGATAAGTGTATTTAAAATTGTGGTGTGCTTTTCGCACCCATAGTGACGTGAAAAGGAGAATAAGTGTCATAAGAAATTGCTACTGAACGAATAAAATTATGCATCTTGGTACCTGCAAAGTGTTTCTTCTTCCACTGCGCAGTTACGCAAGCACTATCTATAACCATCCGCCAATAATAACAATTATTTGTGTCTTCTTCCCCGCATTTCTAAAACATTATACACACACACACGTATATATATGTATATAAAACACTTACCAGTGATCTGTTTTTCCATCCCTGTTTTGGACAATTCTTTTCTATGCACCTGGAATTAAGAGAGGAAAATATTATTTACAACATTTTTCAACGGAAATCAAAATATATCACGTTAAAAATATTTGCATATTGATGCATGTATTCGAATTATAAACATACTAACTTTTAAATGGAGTGGCAAGTAGCCTAATAATTTTTACTTTATGTTTTGTTGCACTTATTTTGTAGATTAAATATCATGCGTGTTCTCTACCTAATAGAAAGACGAGAGAACATTTTATGATATAATAAAATTACTAACCATTTCTCTGAATAATTTATGCCATACTAGACGAAGTATCCGATGCCAGTTAAGTTAGATTGAAAGTAATGTATCTAGCAACAGAGTGAACGATACCGCTATAATCCTTTTCTATACAATGCAAAAAATGCGATTCATAGTCATACAATTTTCATGGAATCCACATAAAAAAAATTTCCATATAAAAATTAACTAATTCTCTCTCATTATATCAGAAACAATGGCACGCAGTTTTTAATGATTTTCGTCTTTCTAATCAAACGGTCGTAAAAGCTCAAATTCAATCCAATATTTCACTTATATTCAATTTTAGTCGATTAAATATGGCAAAAATTGATCATAATTAATCAGAAATTAATAAGCAGTAGCAACACTTTTCGAAATAAAGCATTTTTATCTCGAGAATTATTAAGAATTATTATTTATTTTTAAGCTCGAGACTGTTGCCACGAAAACGAGGGCGAAAATTAGCGTAAAAAGTACATGTCGACTTTTCCCAGGACTAACAAAAGAATTGTGAAACGTTTGGTGACGATGACTGTAATAGTGACTGGGTTAATCGCGAACAAACACACAGACATTCTTCTTTATATATATAGATTTGTAAACCATTCGCTAAAGTACAATTTTATTTACGAATCCTTAGAACCCGATCACATGCACGAAATTTTTACCACACTAGTTAAATATGAATTGGCTTTAACTAAAAGCAGGTTCGCGTGAATATATCTCTATAAATATTTAATTTACCTAACTGTTTAACTAAAAGCTAGTTTTAATGATATAACGTAATAACCTATACTTTAATTCCAAAAGTATTTCCTCCCTCCTTTCGGCATGTCGTCGTCGTGTAATTGGAAGCACTATCAACGCGTGAAGTCCACATTTCGAGTGCCGTCGTGGGCACTGCATGTTTTTCATGTCTTCTGCTTCAAAATAACCTAATGACTGTATAAGCTAAACGCAGTTTCGCTTCAATATGAGACACTAAACATGTTTTTGTATATATTTTCCTACAGTTAAATCCAGTAGCACCGGAATTGTAACATATCACTCAAGAAAAAAATATGCAATACGTGTACTTCAGAGGATGTAAAACAGTAAGAGACATATTTTTCCATCGAAGCGCTAAATAAGTATTGAAACGTACGCTCAAGCTGCGCAGGCGCATTTGTGCGTACGATCGCAACTACCTGGGCGTTTTAAACTTAGCAATAATTTATCTAAATGGTTAAAAAGAAGTGACCATGGTTAAATTGTTGAACCGCGGATTCGAATCAGCGGAAACGAGAGTATTACTATTACTATAACTGTGCTATTTTTGAATGCTTGAATGTAAACGCAAATGCCTGAATGAGAGTTGTACTGTAAGCTCATACATACTTTTTATCGTTTTCTTGTTGCTAAATAATGTTTGAGAGTTAAAACAAACGCATGTATATATTGTGTAAAGCCAGAGGAGCTTATAAATTTTGAATGCACTCTCATAACATAGCTGCCACGTAAAACCCCATTTTGTTTTACAGTATTCACCATTTTCTGGATCTGTAATATTGACACAAGTATAACGCAGTAATGGTTCGAGTACTTCGTTTTAGAAACAACCGGATGGCTTATATTTACAAAGCAACATCACATTCAGTTACCGCAAATCCCGATTCGATTTCTAGTGGCCTAAATGGACTGGCTGCACGACGTTTTCATGCAGTTTCTTATGTGTAATGAAAGTAAGTTTCTCTGATTCAATCCTCACAGAAGACATCCTCCTGCGGTGGTAGCCATTGATATTTTTGGCATAACAGTATAATTCAATTCAATCCTTCACATCATGATGTTCGATTGTTCGATCGAATACAATAAACATACAAGAGCTAACTCGTGTTACTTTGATACTATTGTTACTATTCTAGCATGCAGCTGGGAATTCCTTTCCAGATTTCTGAATGAATCCCGAATTGGGCCTGACGTTTGAGAAAGCCTGTAAATAGTATTCTCCAGATAAGGTACAAGCTGAGGTGGAAATAACTTTGAAGTCCATTGCTTCTTGCGAGAAAATGCCAAGAGCTGTAGAAGGGGCAGGGGTCAAGCACTGTTTTGCTGGTCACGTCACCTAAAGCAGCGAATCTAATGTCATGAAGGGGCGTGGCTTGCCAACTACTGTACTAATTGAATATTCGTGGTCTTTCTATGTTCTGTTTTTATATGCTATAAAAGCTTTACTAATAACCAAAGGACTATTATAAAGCAAAAATACGTCATAAGTTTTCAAATTTTATTTTTAAATAACAGTCATCAAACTAATCTGTTATAAGCTAAAAGCATTCAAAAACAAATTTTTAACTATATAAAATGAATGCTTTAAACAAAGCATAATTTAAGAATATAAAAAAATCATCTCTGCCACGCTTTGTTAAAAACTATCTAAGAATCATCTCATGCTTTTCAATCTTAAATAATTTGTCATCGCTCGCTTAAAATAAATAACGTAAGCCTGTAATAACTGAAGCATTTTTCAATACTCACTGAATAGAACGCATTAAAATTCCACTTTTAAATAGGAAATCGTGGTAGACGTAAAGAAGATAAAAAGGAATTAATCGTTCTTTTATTAAGCGGAAATTCTTAAGAAAAGCATAAAAACGTCTGAATAAATTTTCTTCCAATACCCGTATCGATTGAAACAGAACCACTTAACCTCAGCAAGAAAGGGATAACGTTTTTCCCTTTTTTCTTTTTTGTTCGTCAGCGAAGGGGAAAATAATAATGCTACGCATTTCCAGATGAACTTACGAATGACAGTTTTTGCATTAAAAGTTAAACGCAATAAATGAACTTTCTGAGACTGACAGAGTAATAAAAAATACGAAGAATTTAACGGGATATGTTATAATAGATGAACTCCAAAATGAAGATAAAAATTAAAAGAAAAAAAAATTCGGCAAGTAAATGGTTGTAGTTGATGAATTAGTTGATGATTTTGAACCTTGTGATTTTATGAGCTTCGCAGTTTTGCTACAGCTGCATTATTTAGATTATTAACAACAAAAAGGCAAAGGTGAGAAAAGGCTAAGGATCCTATCCTGAAGTACGTAATATATATAACATTAGAAACATCATCATTAATTATAATAATGCTGAAAATAAATGTTCATCAAAATTATTAGTCGGAAGTAATGTAATTAAATATATTAAATTATATCAAAAATAAAACAGAGATGCAATTATTAAAAAAAGTGCATTTGTATCTTTAAATCACTCAGTTTGTTAAAGTAATTGTATTTATAAGTGACATCACTCTGAAAATTCCTCGTTTTCCAGGCTACGGATAAGATAAAAGTCTGTTATAATCACGGAATAGCAATCAACAAGTTATATGAGTAAAAATGTGCGTGGTAGCGTAATATAATTGTCCAGAAATGTCGAAAAATTTCCGCTAAAATATTCTTTATGTCAAAATTTAGTTGATATCAAAGCAAGAATCATGAATTCTCAGCTAACCTGCCTTTATTTGTCACGAAACACCCTCCAATATTAAGAATTAGAGGAGCGAGTTAAAATTGCTCAGAAATATTTTAATATTTACTTAAAATTTAAGTAGATTAATTCCTTTAACTTAATATTTCAATAATTACTCAACTGACATCAGTATTAGATGGAAAACTTACTGAATATTAAAAAAGAACGCGCCTTTGAACTAAATGTTAAAATAAAATCAATAATTATTAACAGGAATTAAGGTAGCCTTATAACATTATAGTTCTGAAGTTTAAACAGAACCTTCTTCTTCAGCTACGAAAGTGCAAATGACGAAGAAGAAACACGTGCCTGCGTGAGAACAAAAAGAAATTCGAGAATGTTCTAGGTACATAAGTTTTTTAATCGAATGTTCTGTATAAGTTTTATAACAACTAAACAACACACAAGTGCAGCTGAGAAGGAATATAGTTGAGCCATACATTTATTTGAATCATCATTAATATTTGGTATGCTTATGCTTTGTTAGCGATAGTAAAGACAAGGGAAGAAAAGTGCCTATTCAATTCCAATACAAGCTTTTATTTAACAGTAATATACAAATATAACAATTCTTCTACCCAAAAGGCATCATACGTTTATTAATAAAAAGTTTAACTTTCATATGCAACTTCCAAAAAAAAAAACTTAAAAGATAATACTGACAATTTTTTTATCAAGCAACATTATCATATGCGTGATTTTAAAATATTTAAAAATTTACGAACATTGATTTGGCACTTTTTATTTCATAGTAGAAACATTTAAGTATGAATAAATTATATTTAAACGAGTCTAAATATGTGTATTTATTACATACAGATATGGTTGCAGTCAATATGATCAGCAATATTTTACGTTAAATCCTTCCATAAAAAGTTAAATGTTGAATCTAATCTAAATAAATACCATAACGTATTAGCTATTTATTGCTAGCTATCAAAGAAACAAATAAAAAGCGCAGAACTCAGCAGCATAAGTTCTAATTTGCATAAATGATTCATGAACGTCATAAAACTCACTTGAAGTTAAAACGCACTCGAGTGAAATTTCTAATGATTTATAGTTGAAGAAAGATACAGTAAAATCCCCCAGAACGCAAAGAAAAATTTCAAAATTTAGGAACTGGAAAAAAAAATCTAAAAAATAATGCCGGACAAAATAAATTGATTGCCATGCATCTTCCAATACATCACTTACTTAAAGAGATTAAGATTCCAGGAAAACACACATTC